CTCTCTCTCTCTCTCTCTCTCTCTCACTCGCTCTCTCTCTCTCTCCTTCACTCACCCAACTTAAACTTAATCATCAAATCTTAGCCAGCATCAGAAAACCAAATCCAAACCTACCGGTTCAATCTTTCCGAGTCTTCCGCAGCGAAAAGCTCGGCTGTTTCCGCTGCTTTTCGAAGTTTGCCGGAGAGAACCTCATCAACAGAGGACCATCGAGAGATCTCAGAGGGGAACGGAACGACGGGGATGACAGTGGTGATGATGAGGACAACGATGAGGAGGAAAGGGATGACGATGATGATAATGATGATGATGATGACAGTGGTGACGACGATGGCGATGATGTTGTCGTCGTGAGAGTAACGGGGGACTGAGGTACCATCTGGTTCATGAAATACTGAACTGTCTCCTGGGCTTTGTCTTCGGCCAGCTCTCCTGTGAAAGGAAAATAGAAGAAGTATGAGGAATGGTGTCATTGAAGCATTAAACAATGGATGAACAGGTATGTGTATGAGGCATGATATCATACGGAAGTGTCATAAATGAGTGAGCATGTATGAGGAATGGCGTCATTGACATATTGAACAATAGATGAGCAGGTATGATGCATGATATCATAGAAGTGTTTAACAATGAGAGAGTTTGAGGCATAATATCATATAGAAGTGTCATAAATGAGTGAGCATGTATGAGGAATGGCGTCATTGAAGTGTTGAACAATGGATGAGCAGACGTGAGGCATTATATCATAGAAGTGTTAAACAATGGGTGAACAGTTATGAGGCATGATATAGAAGTGTCAAAAATGAGTGAGCAGGTATGAGGCATGATATAGAAGTGTCAAAAATAAGTGAGCAGGTATGAGGCATGATTTCATAGAACTGTCAAACAACGGGTGGGCATGTATTAGGTATAATATCATAGAACTGTTACCAATGGGCCTCACTATGAGCCCGGATGCGTGTTCTATGTCACGTCAGTTCTAATCGAATTGGGGGCGGGGTTGTTCAAATTTACTTTTAAGATAAAGATAAGGCAGGCAACTCTCGACTCCCATCAACCACCGTCGGCATGCCAGTCAGCCAGTCAGTGTGGTAAGATTCCAACTTGAACTCTTCAGCTCTTTATACCTATTCAAAGCCCAACAAGTGAGGTACCAGTACTACGTTTTCCTGAACTCTGAACCACTACAGTAGCGCGTCCAAACACGCAGAGATAAAAGCGGACATTGAAATTGAACTCTTCAGTTTTATTTAAAAGTATTTATTTTAAGCTCAACAATAAAGTACTATTTGTCTGCTCTGAGTTTTGAGCCACAGGAGTAGCGAGCGCGTCTAAATACCCATGGATAAGCGCAGACGTTGAAATTGAACTCTTCAGCTTTTACTTATATGCAAATCTCAAAAAGTGAGGTACTACATTAATATTATCATGCTCCTGAACTTTGAACTTCTGGAGCAGCGAGTCCAAATGCCCATGTATATATAAGCGAGAACGTTGAAATTGAACTCTTCGGCTTTTACCTATTCTAAGTTCAACAAGTGAGGTACTGAACTTTGAACTTCCGGAGTAGCGTGTTCAAACACTCAAGGACAAACGCAGACGTTGAAATTTGGCGCTCATATGACCATATTATGCTGTTGCGAGCGCCGTAAAACCCTCTACTAAAAGAAAAAGACGTTGAAAGACTTTTCAGCCTTTACCAATTCTAAGCTCAACAAGTACTATTTGTGCTCCTGAACTTTGAACTTCTTGAGTAATGAGTCCAAACACGCAGGGATCAACGCGGACGATGAAATTGATAGCATACCCGGAGTCGCCAACGACCACCAGCCACCTGTCGAAGACTTTGTGGCGACTACTTTACTGGACAACGGTCAAGCATTCCCCCCCCCACCCCCTCACTCCCCGCCTGCATAATATCACGGTCAGTGGTCACTCCTGTCCTGGTCAAGGTAACACCTGACTGAGAGGAGGGCCCTTCATCCTTCCTGTCGGTAACTCGGTCATCACACCACATAAAACAGCTCTCGCAAGGACAACAAGGGGGGCATAATCCGGAAGACACTCGCGAGAGTCCGCGGAGAGCCAGCTGGAGAACAGTTACGTCTTTCTTGAGCCCAAGGCAAGGACATTAGAACCTTACTGTATGTATAACCTTCTTGTCATGGCGGGCTTCCCTTTGTAGCTTCTGTATTACGGGTGGCTGGAGGGCGTCACTGGTAGGCCCTAATTCTTTTCTTCCCTTCTGTTTTTTGTTTTTTCTCCTTCCATTCTGTTGTTTTTTTTTCCTTCTATCTGCCTTGCACTTTATGACCATTGTTGTGACGATGTGTTTCTCTTTACCCAAACTCAAACTCAAACTCACAGTTTCTGCATTCTCGACGTCTCAACATATCGTGGACCTAGCCTAGTTCTAATGGGACCTCCAGTCGTTTCCCTGGTGTCATAATTCATGTCTTATTCCTAGTAACTGAGAACGATACAGACAGACCAAAGCTATTATACATACGCATTGGACTACACACCAGTAACGCGGTTTGGTCGCAGTGGGTCTATTTC